AAAGAATTAAATAAAAACATTTTTTACATTTTATTTACTAAAATCACATTGCGTCGAAATAGGGCATTAAAAAGAGACTTGAACTGGAACCTAGTTATTGCCACAAAGTTTATGGAGTAAAGAATGCCAAGTAATGTATCCACATAAACATATTATATTATATACAGTTTATTTAATTGTAGCTCTATGCACAGGTAAGAAATCTGTAAGGTGTTAGAATTTAAATGTGTAATATCTACATCCAGTCATTTTGGCACAGATCCTACCAGAAATCACAACCAAAATCACTGCCTAAGTGTTTCCACGCCACTACCCTATCATGGAATTACAGTAGCACAGCAGAAAAAAGTGGAGTAATCTGCTGTCACCTCGAACATAAACAAGCAGTTCTCGTACAGAGTGGATTCAAATCACGTCTTTACAGTTGGTGCCCATTTAGTACATCCCAGGACAAAAACCCTTAAACCTTTCAAGTCCAAAGCTTAATAATAAGTGAGTTATCATAAAGTGCCTGTCAGCAGAAGAGAAAACAGAAATCAGCAAATTTCATGTTCTCCCTCTCACCAACAGAACAGTCTTTGTTTGGAAGGCATTAGCCGAGCGGATGTGAGTGAGGCATTCTGCTGCAGAATGGCTCCTTCTTCCTGCTTGGTCTCAGAGGTGTTGAAAACTTCCCAGAGCACATTCCACTCTGAGACAGACACACGGAATAACAGTTAAGCAAGGACAGAGGAATTCAAAGGGCTTTTTTGAATCAGTTACAAAAGAAAAAAAAAAGTGGACGACACATACTTTTATTTCCCACTATGACCATGTGGTTAAAGGTCACTTCTCTAACTTTATCGACAAAACATTCCCACGACCGCAAACTTCCCATCAGAACAGATTGGTATATGGAGAAGAAAACCCACACAACCGCCAACTCACAGGGACCAGGCCACTTCAAAATCACAACTGTGCACAGAGCATGGATTTGGAAAGTATTAGCAGGTTACTGCCATTACTGACTCGTAAACAATATGAAGCATATATTTAGGAGGCCCTTGGCCTCAATTTAATACTGCGCAGGCCTTTGGTCTATTTTAAGGCCAGTGCTGTATGAATAAGTAGCATTCACACTGATGTACTTGTTTATCGAGGACACAGTTAGGTGGGTAAATGTGTTTGAGGGCAGGTCTGCATTTGTCTGTGTTTAAGGAAAAGGGGGAAAAAGGCAGGCAGTGTTGCAGAAACATTTCCGAAATCGGAAGACTGCACCTAGACAAAACAAAGATACCACTAAAAGCACAAGGATAACAAAACTGCTGGAGATTTATTGTGCGTCTGCAGCGACAACTCAATGCGCAAACTCAATGGGATGAAACGCCAGGCTTTACAACTAGAACAGCCTTTATTTTCTTTTGTAAAAAAAAATCACATATGCCCTTCACTGTTTTCAAATGAGGTCACCACATCTGATGTGCCAGTTTGGTTCTGTGCCCATGTTGAATAGGTGGTTGTTCTTTGAAAATCAAATTGCCAGGCAGTAAGAATAACACCTGACAAAAGCTTGGCCACCACCAAAGAGCCAGTGAAATAGCAAAGCAATTGAGAGAATGGGAAAAGAATGGAAAGGAAGATGATGACAGCTGTTTATCAAATTGTTCCAAGATGAAATTCCTTTGGAATATGTATCTAACGTATACATGAAAGAAAACAACAAGCTGTCGGGTGAAAAAAATATGAGAGGGAAGCAGTGAACCAGCAAAGCCACATCTAGTGATGCTACACAAACAACAACAAAAAAATCATTCTTATTAGCATTTAAATGTGTAGTGCATCCAAGCTTATGTCCAATGACTTCACATGCTCTTCAGATAAAACCAACTGATTTAAAAACATGCCCGGGACATAGCAGAAAATATTATGTAGCCCATATTGCTGTGCTGTGTAGAAAAAAAAAGTAGAAATCTTCTTGTCCTTGAGAATAGAGAGTTTGTATTTTGTACACTTCCATCCAGCCATAAAGTCAAATCATAAAACACCCATAATGTTTTGCATGAAGATCAAAACATTATACGTTTTGGATGGGTCCTAAACCTCAGGTCCACCTCCTGTCTGCCACCGCTATAACTTATTGGTCTATTTTTTTCCCTCATTTACTTTACTTTACCACTTGGGTGATAATGGCTCTGAAAATGGAGACACCATTAAATTATTCCTAATCAATACACAGTTGAAGTTGATCATAAAATATGGGTCAGGACTAAAAGCCCGGCTATTGGCGACTGGTTCATTAGCTTCAAATGAACCTAAATGGCTTCACACGGACATCACTTTTGTCTTTCAGCTGTTCATTGCTCATTAAATGTCAATAAAACTGCAGAAAATGCCACAATCTGTGTTTATTGCATTAAATAGTACACTTACACATGTACTGTATGTAAATACAAAATTCTTCAGTCAGTTTCTCTATTCTTAATCCTGACAATCAACTGTGCTACCTAACTTCTACAATTCCGTAGACCATCACAGCAATGAAACTGTCGCCAAAGCAATATTTTTGAGGAATATTTTAACTTAGCATCATTTTCAAATGTCCCAGCACTCCCCAACAGAACGTTACAAGTTTGCACTTGCATAATTGTGTTTGACTAAACAAAACAGCACTTTTCTCACTGCATCACACCATGCCAACACATGCAACACCACAGAAGCCAATGGAAGATCAGAGGCGCCTTTTTAAGCAACTGCAACTTCCTCAATTTGGTAAAAAAAAAAAAATTAAAAATAAAGTTTTTGATATTGCAGTACACTAATAATAATAAAGTAAAAAATGGGTGGGGGAGATTTTTTCATTATATTAATAGAAAGTAAGGCAGCAATCACTTGTGGGACTGCTGAAATATTCTGAATGTTTTAACAAAAAAAAGAGAGCAGGTAGGGAGAGAAGCTTCCACACTCAGTGTGGTTTTTGTTTGCAAAGGTAGAGAAAATACACACAGCAGAGAGAAAGAGAGCCTGCAGCGGAGACTTCCTCCCACGCAGACAGGTTCTTGATGAATGTTATGCCAGCTCATCACCACAGTGTGGGCTGCTTGGCCTGACAGAGAGATAATAGCACCCAGTATGGTACAGTGTCACAGGCCATCAGGGAAGTAGTCTAACTCTCACAGAGGTCTGAGGCAGTGACCCTGATTTCTCTGGGCAAACTCCACGGTGGTAAAGAAAACAAAACAACCGCCCGAACTGCACATTCCGGGTAAATGTATCGTAACACTAGAAAATAGTTTCCTGTCCGTGACGGCACACATGAAGTGCACAGTTGTCAAGTTAAATATTCAGGTATGAATTAACATTCTGTTCAAAGCCAACATCTTTACCTGTAAACAGTTTGGTGATAGCCTTGTTCTGTCGTCTGGCAGAGCAGATGAGCAGCAGCCAGGGAGGCAGAAACTCATGATGACTGGCCAGGAGTTCAGCAATGGTCCTGGGGGAGGCGAGGGAAGATCGCTGCTCCGCCTCACCCAGCTGACAGCCTTCGTCGATGGAGTCCACGAGAAGAAAGAGGGACTGCTGAGGAGGCTTTATGCTGAGGAGTGGCAGGAGGACACATCTGAGGAGAAAAGAGAAAAGAAAGTTTGGTGACACTTCTTTTCCTGTAAAGTGCCTGAAAAACACCATGTCTGCTTGAATTAATTTAATGTGTATTTTCCCATTAATAGATAGATAGAACTTTATGAATCCCTCGGGATTTCCCTTCAGGAAATTAAGGAATTATCTTTACATATTTGTAATGATTCACTTACTATTAGAAAATAAAGAAATATGTTTTTGAAATGCTGAGAGTTACAGTAAAAAATTCAAGAAACTCAACAATGACTGGTACAATTTCTTTTAGTTTTAACTCTTCATATTATGAACAATGAGCAACGATTTGCCTGCACATCCAGATCACAAATTCTTGGTGCAAAAAAATCTAAAATAATCAGCAATGCATATGGAAACAGCATTTTGAATTGCCAAAAACTGGTTGAACCTCAAAATAAACCATGAAAAGATTAAAGGTACAGTCACTAGATTATTAAATTATGTTAGATTTTGACATTTTAGGATGAATGTAGATGTGAGTCACAATCAGACTGTAGTCTCTACCAGATAAACATGATCCTTGTTTTAAAATATTCTCATAGGAATTTTACTTAAAAATTCCAAAGGTCTGTTGGAGATGAGGTCAAGACCCAGACTGATACGATAACAAATACTCGAAATGACTGCGCTGCCAAAACCTGAAATATTGCACATGCTTCCTCTTTCTCAACCAAAGCAAAAGAAACGATGCTACAATGATGCTGCAGAACCTAGGTTATGGAAATAATGAAAACAAGATTAGTTCTAAGAATCACATAGGGAGATAATAAAAACTGTTCATTTACTTCCACCATTTTGGTAGTATTAGGTTATGGTCTCTAAATTAATAATAGAAACAAAGTTGTATTTTTTTTTAAATCACCAGAAAAGAATATTTTATTATCTCTTTAATCCTATACCATTCTAAAAGTTTCTCAAATAAATAAGTGTTAGATAATGAATGGATAATGAGTGAATATAATTTTTAAATGTTTTAAAAGGCTGTATTGTTGGTAAATATAATGTTATAAAAACCTCTACTCTGAAGAAGAATAAATGGACAATTTGCGATGTCTGTTTCGATGCAGACATAACAGTCTGTCATAGAATAACAGTGTACATGAAGACAGTCAGTATAGTTTGAATATTTAGGGCTGTACTATAAAGGTCTTTCAGCTCTAATACCAGATCATTTTGTACTTCCTACACAGTTCTAATATACTGTAATATTAGTGATGATGTCAATTTTCTAGTGTACAGTCATAATAATAATGGTTCTATTGTTGTCCTCCCCCGCTTGGCGCAACTTTTACTCCACGATGCATCTGTTCGCACTAGTTTGTCTCATTTGATGCAACAGTGCCACTACAAAGACAACAGTCACTGTGCCAAAGTCACTTTGAGTGACTTTTTTCAGCCATACAAATCTCACTTCATCAGAACAGAGAGAGCGTAGGAGCGGATATGTCTCTCTGTGAGATCTTCACTGCATCATTACGAGGGCCGACTGTAGATGACAGGAGCGAACAATTTTTCAGAGCAGGGGTGGTGAGGTGGTAAAGTAGGCAGTTGAGCATAAGTTCTGAGGGTGAAGGGGGATGGTACTAAGAGCAGCAGATCATTTAGGTCAAAGCAGTATCAGGTTTTGTGAGAATTGTCATGGACTCACTAATACCTTGGTTCTAGCACCAACATTAGGACATGAGCATTATTTTTAAATTGCATTTAAGGATAAAAATACACAACATAATATGACTATGGCTAAGGCACCGACTGACAATATAAGTACTAGCTTTATATGTTGTAGAGTTCAGTAAAGTATCAGTCGGTGCCTGACTTGTTTTTCAACCTAGTTGTCATTTGTAATTCATCTTGTTTTAGATGTTTATAGCTAAATAGCCAGCACTGAGAGCAACCTGAGAAATTAGTTTACTTAAATGCATTCATACTAGAGACTATAAAGCTTGGTTGGGGTGATGCTGCTCTATCCAATCGGCTATCAAAACACAGTAGTCATCAATGGCACTTTTTAAAAAATGTTATTCCCTGTTTGTAGTGGCAGGTCTTTTGATAAACTTTTAACTGGCGCTGACGATTTAAAGAAGTGAGGCGTACGTTGGTGAAAATTTAATTTCCCCAGACTCATTATATTACTTCCAGCTCAATTGGCCGTGGTAAAGGATCTGACAATTTCATATTTTTGACATTTTAATCATGGTCTAGGTTAATTAAATATTTTAAGGGGGTCTGAACAAATCAATTAATAGACGTGAAAATTTAACTCACTGAAGAAAGCTTCTGGGAGATCTGAGGATTATTTTATGCATAGCTGTCATGCAGATAAAAATCAGTCACCTTCCGGCTGATGAGACATTCTCTTTAACTACCACTTTTCTTTAATGGGGCTGACACTGCTTGTAAGCTTTGTCATAAAACAAGAAAATACTGTTTTAATGAGGCCTCCCCTGGATGCTCAACAGCCTGTCACTAACCCCGTGGCTTCAAAAACCATTCTCTTTTTGAGCACCTTCCACTTAGAGCTTACATTTTAACCCCAGCTCATTATCCTTAAACATGGCAGCAGTTGCTGGGGTGAAGATGTTGTGCTTTTAGAGGAAGTTGGTTTACAACTTAAGAATGGCCTAATGACGATGACCTACACAAGGGAAATCAAACAGGTTCTTATAGAGGGGGTTCAATTCGAAAATGTAAACATACTGTAGGGTCAACTAAGACTTCCATTAAATAATAATTGATTGAGATCTGGCGGGACAAACGTAATTATTATTGCATCATTTAATCTAGGAAACATTTCAGTTGTTCTTGTGGATCGTACATCATTTAATACAAACTAAAGTATTACTAAGATTTAAAATATCCCTGCAAATCACTGTCTAGGATTTTATACATTTTGAAATCAAGGTGTTGACTGCATAAGCATAAGCAAAGCAAAAAGCAAATACACCTATGATATAAAATTGTAAAAAAAAAAAAAAACCTGGAAGAGTAAATGGATAAAGCATAATATATTGACCTAGAAACTGACTAAATAAAAAGTCAATAAGTAAAAATGTTAATAGATTTTTATTTTCTAACCTTTCTTACCTAAGAAATAATTGTATTAACAATAGATATTGATCACTAAATCCAGTTCACTGACACGGCAGGTCATTTTCTAGTTCCTGTCTGAGTAATCTGATTGAGACATGTACTAAATAATGACCATAGGGGAATTAACTTATAATGAGAAATATAGAGCATTATATTATATATATATATATATATCAGTAAAAACACCACCAATAAATTGAATGACCTCAGTTTGAAAAGATAATTATTAAAGTTATGATGCATACACCAGTGTTCTAAAACTACAATGATGTATACAAGTAAAGCTGTGCCAAGGGCTGAAGTCTTTATCAAGTGATCTGCTGTGAAAACTCCAATAAGAAGTTATAATCTCATTAGGATGCATTTTGAGATAATTTAACGCAACATTAGCTCTGACCTTATTTGCGGCAGTGCTAGCGGATATAACGATAATGATTATTATCATGAGATAATGATTCCTTCTAGGAAACATTGTAAAATACACATACACGTTTTGACAGATCACGCTGTGATCCAAAAATCAATCATGTAGCTGTAACCGCTACAAGGTTAAATTAATGCACACACAATAAAAAAAAAGCAGTAGAATTTTTGGAAATACACGCACGCTATAATACAAATTGATTAAATACATCTGTGGTGCACAATATGGTTAAATTCTTATAGTGTATGGTCACTACTACACACAATAGATATCTATATATATTTATATATTTTTTTATTTTAATTGCCCCTGATACATCAGCACTCCCCTTGTGTTCAACTGATGGTATCTACCAGTTGACACAAAGGGAGGAGTGAATTCATTCCTAAACGTTGACCAAATATGAGGTCCAAATATATGTGTAATAGTTAAACGAGAAATATTATCATTGCTATGGCTGAACAGCCTAGTATTCATATAGCATCTTTGTCAGTGAGTTCATCAGCTGGTAGTGCCTGTGAAACTCCTCTATATTGTCTTCCTTATCCAATAGACCAAGAACCATCAGCAAAACCCACTGGTCATTTCAGTAGTACACAAAGTCCCCATGGACTGTAGATATTAACCAGTGTAGCTAATTGTATTTTCCAGTCTCCACAATCTTCAACTTCTTGAATCTTGAATTCATGGCATTACCTAAGCTGCTTGGAGCAGCAGTGAGAAACAAAACCATTTTTAAAGCTCTCCAACCTTCATGCACCGTCGAGACGTTGCTCAGCCTTTTGCATACGCAGTCAATCACAGCTTCTGAAGGCCACAGCCCAAAGAGAACCTGCTGTGCCATCTGGGAGCCCTGCCAAAAGGAATGTCCATCCACAGGGGTGACTGGGAGCGAGGGTGGGTGTGAATGGTTGTGACTGAGGCCGCGCTGCCCACAGAGACAATCAAATCCACAGCAAAAGCAAGTGGGCAAAACAAAGACCCTTTGTTCTCGCACAATCCTGCTACTTTCGAGCTGTCAAGGAATCAAGAAGACAAGGGACGCAAACAAAGAAACGCCACGGGATGCAAAGCATGGAGAGAAAATAAGCCCAGGATAAGCTGATTTAGTTTGGAGCCTAAACCTGAGACACAAAATTTAAAGTAAGTGAGCCATACAGATGGTTTAAAGGTTTTTTCCTGCTGTTTGTCTCTTCTATGACTTCAATGTACACCCCAATAAATTTCCATTGGTATTTGAGACAAATATAATTTGGGTGGGTGGGGAGGGAGTGAATGTTATGCACCCACCATCTGTCATGCTGTTTTGGTGACTATGGCAGTAGCAGCTTTCTCCACAATGTGTAACGATAAAGTTTGAGCGTGGCGTTTAGTGAAGACGTCCGAAGTGAGAGGGCAGTGACAAGTGCTGAGCTAGAACTGCACAAATTTCCACACCTTTTTTATATATA